CAACATTTTCAAAAAACAAGATGGCTGCCAGTCGGCCATTTTGAATTGAATCGCTAAACCACTACATGTGCATATGTCCCACATAAGGTACTAGGCACATGCAAAGAATGAACGGAATCGGTCCACAGGATTCTGAAATATGACGTTGGATAGACTGACAACGGACAGACGGACACACAGACGGTCGGACAGACAAACTCAGGAACTCACGGACGGTTGGGGACATGTATCCTAACATGTATATCTATGTACTAAATTTGAATGAAAACTGACAAAGCATGTCCAAAATACGACATTTTCAAAAAATAAGATGGCTACCAGTCGGCCATCTTTGATCCAATTGTGAAATAAATCATGGACATGTATCCTAACATGTATAATCTATGTACCAAGTTTGAATGAAAACTGACAAAGCATGTCCAAAATACAACATTTTCAAAAAACAAGATGGCTGCCAGTCGGCCATTTTGAATCGAATCGCTAAACCACTGCATGTGAATATGTCCCACATAAAGTACTAGGCACATGCAAAGAATGAACAGAATCGGTCCAAGGGATTCTGAGATATGACTCCGGGCAGACGCACGGACACACGGACGGATGGAGACCGAATTATAAGTCCCCGTTTTCGGGCTTCGTCCGAACGGGGACTAATAAAACCAACATGGTCGCCAGTCAGCCATTTCAGTTAGTCAAAAGGTAAATGGAATGAAAAAAAGAATGTGCATATCTATACTGTTCTGAATTTTCATTGTGCCAACTTCAACAAAATAAGTCCAGTCATGTTGAGATACATCTGACATACCGACTGCACAGAGCAAATGAAACCCAAAACACAAGTTCCTGTTTGGGACTACATTAGAGAGGAACAAAAAAGTCGGAGTGTAATAGAAGAAACAGAGTCATGTATGTATCATAGACTAATCTTGATTTCTGAAGTCATCTTTACTTCATAGGTCTGAAAATCTTGCGAATTGATGTTAATTACAAAAGAATCTAAGAATAGACTCGATAATTGATGGATCTTGGCAAGAAATCGTATGTCGATATCTTATGATATTGTAATTATTTTATTTGGTATGTTATTTCATGTGTCGAGGGCTTCCAGTGAAGTAGATACAAAAGTAAAAATCTGCTTTCACCCCTTCTCACAGAATGAAAGTAAAGGGTTTTTTTTTAACATGTATGCATATTGGTAGTCAAAGAAATTAAAATAGTTATTGTTGAAAAAGTAATATTTCAACAATAGGCCAAAGTTGAACAGAGAATGCTGAATTACTTGCACACATAACTGAGTAAAAAGAGAAAATTAAACTATTGATCAACCTTAAAGTTGTACTCTGAATTCAAGTTTTATATTTGGTTTTTTGCAACTAATATTTGATTGTCTGAATTACGGATAGTCTGTAAGAAACTTCCGAAAATTCTTAGCGCTTGTTATTTGATTGTTTGGATTTCATTTGCCAACACTTCTGAAATTCAGCAAACGGGCAAATATTTCCTGAAATTTATACCATTACAGTAAATATTTCACAAAGCTTTGCCAAAGTGCTCAAAGGAAAAGTGCATCAGTTCCAGTATATGGTAGTTGTGTCATTTTAACAAGTTCTGAAATGCAGCAAAACGAAGGAGGGGAAAAGAAAGGATTCCCACACGCTGTTTATTTTCAAATCAGATTTTAATATTAGCAATAAAATGTACACATCACAGACACATATTTTTTTTTTGTATTGTCACAGTATACAATTACCCATCATTATCTCCGATTTCTACACAGGAAAGAGTTAAAGAATCACTTGACTTGCAGGTGACAAAAAGCATGTTATACATCTGACGTACGTTGCAAGCATTGCACTCATCTCAAGATTATAAAATTTAGTTTTTTTTAATCCCTGAGAAAAGTCTTGGGGTTTGCAGTTCAACGCCAGTCATGACACCGAGCAGTTTTCAATATTTGTTTCTATTGTTGGAATTACAAGTTTATCGACAAATTTATTTAAAGAGTAGTAACAACTATAAAATAGCGCCCTCTATCAGTCTCACAAGAGATACTATTGTTTGTTTTTAACTTGATGTCCCTCGCCATGCATTGCCAATAATAACCATGGAAGGAAAATAAATATACCATTCTAATTTTGATTTGCATGGAGTAAATATGCAAATAAGTTAAGCAATTTTGAATTTCAATACTACCGGTAGTTGTTTGTTTCAGAATGAGACATTCTAAAGTCAGTACGTTGAGCTAAGTATCCTTGTATTCAATATTTAAGTCACTTAAATGATTCAACTTTGAAAATTAAGGCTACAGACTTTTTTTTTACTAGAGTGGGAGAAAAATTATTGGGTATACATTACAGGTGTTATAAAAAACCCTAACACAAATAAGACTGGATTATGAATATAAGGAAGTTACCAACATAGTTTTACAAATTCCAATAACTTGCAAAGTTTAAAAAACTGTAGCTGTGATATCTAAATTATTTATAAAATTGTCAGAAATATTCAAAAAAAAAATCTGTTAAATTATCAACTTTGGATAAGCTCTCTTTTTGGATGACAATTGGATGAGTGATAAAATTGTATTTGGCAGACATGAAGAGTGAAAAAAAAAATGACAATGTAAAGAGAGGAGGCAGCATTTGGCACATTGCCAAAACCATAATCATTTTATATATTATATATCTCAGTTAAGATTAGATGAAACCCTGATTGATGTAAAAAGTCTATCGCTAAGTTTGTCAGGAAGTTATTTATATAGATGCGAGATCTGAAGTTACAAATGTCACAATAAGTAATTCAGCTTTGCCACCATCATTATATTTCTTGAATTCAAAATAAGGAAATAGTTCATCTAGGCGTTTAAATACAGCTTAACAAAGTAGGAAGGTTGCGGGTACGTTGAGTCATCGCTTGTTTCACAATTTGACAGGGATACGACGGGATTTCACAGCCATTGCAGGAGATCGTGGAGGCACTGATTGATTTGAACAAAAGTCCATTGGTTCTGAAATAACTGATTTTGTGGCTGGATTGACTGCATACAAAGACTTGTCTTCTAACTCTTCGTCAAATTCAAACAGTGCAGGTTGGCCTTTAAATGGACTTCAAAAAAAAAAACATTAATAAATATTGGGTTTAGCACACAATCAAATGAACATGGAGTAAATAATATGTTTTCAAAGCAAAATCTGCAAAAACAGAAAATTAAAAAAACTTGTTTCAGAGTTGCCAAAGTTAGTTAGTCTTGACGTCACTTGCTGATTAGTAATCACATCAACTATCTATGCTTATTGTGTTTTCGACTCTGTCCTTAATGGCGACCATATTTTGTAATATTTCATTTGAGTCACAATCCAAGTAATAAGGAAGTCCAAATAGATATTTTCAATGAATTATTGCATTTAAAATGATTTTTAATTATTTTTTTCTTGTCAAAGCACAAAGCGGAGTACACCTCCCTGATGTACCGTACCTCATTGGAGTGACAGGACTACTTCCTTGCATAGTAATTTTTCTGGGTGATCTTGGTTTCATACCCGGTCTATACATGAAGTCTTTTAAAACTGATGGAGCTACATAGGTAAAACCCTGTGAAAAAAATAAAAAACACTAAATTACAGAAACTGACATGGAAGTGTGACTAGTATTGTAATAATAACTAGTAACGGAGATGACACGAGTCAAATTGTTGGACGAAAGTTGGCACACTTATCAGCTAAAAATAACAATGAGTACACAACATGTTTCATACTCCACACATGATCGTTAGCATTCAACATGAAATTCATTATTTTTCAAATACACGTCCTTGATCAGTCCACGGTTGTGAACTTTCCGATGTGGCTATTCTAGTATTTCCCAAACTCAAAGATTTTATTTTTGATTGCAGCTACATGTACAGTATGCTTTATTTTTTCCCCACTGGTCAGATTTTACCCAATTAAGGTAGAGATGCAGGTTTGTGGGCACTTGGGAGTGAAATTTTTTTTTTTTGCTTTTTATTATTCAAACAGTCTTGGCTATAGCATGTTAAAATTTTGTAGAATTGTGAACAGTGGAACATACTCAAAAAACGATTTTAAAATATAGATAACAGGTGCAAACATTCTCTCTTTTTTGAATGCTTAGCAAGATTTAGCAAGGCTTTACATAAATAATAAAAAAGAAACATGGTGAAAAAAATGA